GATGATGCATTTCCATCTTAAATCAGGTTGTTAATGCCCTGATTAAAGAAATCACTTGGCTTTGCGGCAAAAAACATGTCGATGACATCTTTAACACCTTCCACATTTGCATACGTTTTCCCATTAAGATGGTGATGCAGCGAACAAAAAGATTGTAATCTGATGTTGCCATATCTGAAGAATATGGTGGGTGGGGGAGAACTTCCCAACCCAACTCCATAATCTTGAGTTGCGTCAAACGTGCCATATGTGGACGTGCATTGTCGTGGAGAAGAAAACCACCTTTCCGATTGACGAGTGAAGGGCGTTTCTGATGAAGGGTTTTATTGAAACGCAGTTGCTTACTTTAGATCTCTGCATTGACAGTTCCCTGTGGATTAAAGAGTTCGAAATGAATTACTCCTTTGATGTCCCACCAGATGCAAAGCAACACTTTCTGTGGATGGAGTCCAGGTTCTGGGGTCGGAAGTGGTTTTTGTCTAGACTGAGCCATTGTTTTTGGCGTTTAATATTCGCATAGAGAATCCATTTTTCATCATTGGTGACAATTCTGTCCAAAAATGGTTCACGCGCATTACGCGCCAGAAGAGACGAAGCAACGTTCACACGTTGGAAACGATAATCATCGGAGAGTTCGTGAGGCACCCAAACACCTTCTTTATTGAGGTTTCCCATATTCCTTAGATGTTTATGTATTGTTTCATATAAGACATGCAATTTCAGGGCCATTTCACCAGTGTGTTGCCTTAGGTTAGACTCAACAAGCGTCTTCAGAGCATCATTATCAATTCCAATATGTCGGCCTCTGCCATCACAGTTTTTAAGGCTAAAGTCACCTGAACGAAATTTGCTGAGCCATAGTTGACACTTACGAACGTTCAAAACATTTCCATAAACTTCATTGATATTCTTAGTGGCTACAGATGCGTTGTTTCCCTTCTTGTATTGAAACAGCGTTACATGCCGAATGTGTGTCTCGTCGTGTGCCATCACTATAAAAGATTAGTGTTTACTAAACGTTACATATTATATAGGCTACACTAACGTGACGTTTAGGCGGTTAGTTAACTATGATGCACATTTTTTAGGGGGTGGTTAATTAAAGTTTTCCAAAACCTAGCATTAATTTCTTGACGACCTAATATGTATGTATAGGAGTGATCTTCTCGAGCGTAAACATATATTAAAAAATACTAAAAGACGACCAGGTTCGAAATACTGTAT